TCTCTCTCTCTCTGGAGACAGGGTCTTGCTGTGTCACTCAGGCTGTAGTGCAGTGGTGCGATCACGGCCCACTGCAGCTTCAACCTTCTAGGCATAAGCGATCCTCCTCTTGCCTTAGCCTCCTGAGTAGCTAGGACTGCAGGTGTGTGCCACTAAGCCTGGCTAATAAAAATAATTTTAGCAGAGATAAGGTCTCTCTGAGTTGCCCAGGTCAGTCTTGAACTCCTCGTCTCAAGTGATCCTCCTGCCTGGCTTCCCAAAAGACTCATTTCAGGCTGGGATTACAGGCATGAGCCATCACTCCTGGCCTATTGTTTATATTTCTAGTTGGACTGATTTTAAGGTCTGTATGAAACCAATGCTTTTTTGAATTATTTTAACTTTTTTTTATGTAAAAGCTGAGGTTTCATGTAGATATGCATGCTAAGAGTTGTTTACAAACAAACGTACAGCCATATACAGAAATGGTTATGTTTTATGAATAATTTAACTAGTTTAATGTATAGTTATAACTTCTTTTGACTGCCTGTGAGCTAAAGTTTCAGATACTTCTTAATATATATTTTTGTATTAAAGTTACCTTTGAAACGTAGCCCTTTTCTCCTCTTTTAAAATTATGCAGACATTAAATAAGAAGTTGAGTGTACAGATTCAGGATTCTAGAATTAAAACCAGAGCTAGAAATTCCTAACTTACATTTTTTAAGCCATTGAGTTAGCTGTTATATATGAGACAAGGATTTGTAGGCATGGGATGAAGGGCCTTACGGGATGGAGAGACCATAGAGGCAATGGAGTGAGTCAATAAAGCATGGAACGCGTTTAGAGAACAGAAAATACCCTAATTTTATAAGCTTTATGAGGTGTATGAACAATAGTACAAATTGAGAAAGGATATTAGAGCATTTATTGGTTTTATTCATAGTCACCGTATACCCTCTTGGGTGGATATTGGAATTTATGTTTTACAGACAAGGAAACTTAGGTGTTTTGCCCAGGCTAATAAGTTATGCAAACACAATTCAAAATAGGTCTGTAGCTTTGGCTTTAAATACCTGGCTAGTGAGTAAAATTTTCATTTCATGTGTTGCATTCATGTGGTGGTTTTTGTAATCCAAGCAGTAATATGTATAGGAAGATTAGATTGTCAGTAATGTAAACAGTAGATTGGAGGGGAAGAAGCAAAGAGGGTCAGTCTTACTTGGTTGGATACTTTTATTTCTGTATTTCTCAATGATGTTATGTATACATTTTTTGTTTTTCAGAGAATGACTAATAGTAGCAGCTCCCCAAGCCTTCTAAATGACAGTGCCAAGCCATATGCAGGCCATGGTAAGACCTGGTCCATTTTGCTCGTGTGTGTCTGTGTATGCATTTCTTACTTTAAAAGCAATATGCAACCATTGTAGATATTTTGAAAATTGTAAACATGTATAAAGAAGAAATTAAAAATTATTATCTTCCCACTCAACTCCAACTATTGAGATTCAGATTCCAGGCCAGGCGTGGTGGCTCACGCCTGTAATCCCAGCACTTTGGGAGGCTCAGGTGGGAGGATTGACTGAGCCAGGAGTTTAAAACCAACCTGGAAAAAACAACAACAACAAAAAACCCAGCCTGGGCAATATAACAAGACCATGTCTCTATTCTTAAAAAAAAAAGAAAAGTGTATAAGTTATATAACATGCTATTAACATCTTGCTCTTTGCACTATTAGTTATTTAATGTTAAATTAATGTTAATTTTAGTGAAGGTGAGACTGAAAATCCAGGAAGAAGAAGGCAGAGAAATGAAGCAGTGGTCTATATGTACTACATTGTGAAGATATTTAAGGTTCCTGTACCTAAAGTCATTTATATACTTTTTAGGATTTAGCAGAACATTTAATGAGATTAATAAATAAAAAATTAAAGCTCAGAAATGAATATTTCAATATATCTCATGCATGCCTTTTCAGAGACTCTTCTTATTTGTAAAGCGAGAAGTAATTAAGACATATAGTGTCATTTGTAACTTCTTTGTACAGAGTAGTGGAATTTTGAACCTACGAAATTTTTGGATTTCATGTTTGTGTTTTGAAAAATGTAATATTTCCATCTTTAACAACTTAATAATTTAACTTTTTAGTAATAATATCAAACAACTGGTGATAGACTTTAAAATGTGGAATAGATAGTAAAGTAGATGGTTTTAAAGCCTTGCTCATGTGTCGAAATCCAAGACTGGATCTCTCAAGAGTATGAATATGGCTGACACTGCCCCCACCCTCCACTCTCCTTTTTTTCCTTCTCAAGATTTGGTCTCAAGATTACAAACCTTTATTTACTTTAGGTCGACTTACTTCCTTCATAAACATACTCACAATAGTATGGTTAACAGGTTTTTTTCTCTGATTTTTTTCTTTTTGGTCTAGTCAAATAGATCAAATCCATATAGCTTTTGAATACTTGAAAGCAAATTGTTTCGCCAGTTTGTGTTTTATTTGCTCAGAAAATATTTGAACATATCTGTGTGTTAGGTATTAAATATAATTATTGTGGCATTTGATTTTTTTACTATATAGCCATTGTCAAGTTAAACATTTATTAGATTTCTGGGTTACCTGAGTTTTATGTGTAGAAACTTATGTAACTTACCTTTCAGATCCTCTAACTTCACCTGCTTCATCCTTGTTTAATGACTTTGGTGCCCTCAACATCTCTCAGAGACGAAAGGTAGGTAAAATTGAAATTTGAATGAAACTAAATGGAATTTAGAAGTGATGTTGGCATTGTTACCTATGTAGTGTCAATGTTTTCATAAGTGGAGGGAGAGCTTTTTATGGGCTTTAGTGTTTTTCTTGCCTTTTGTTTATCCTTCATCTTTTTATATGTGGAAATTTCTTTGATCTGTGTACATGGAATAGAGATTTTGTGTGAAGGGATGAAATCCTACTGTTTATTTTTGTTCATTTTATTTATCTTAATATATTCTGTTTTTAAGAACATCTAATGTTATAGTTGCTGTTAATTGTAAGCATATTCATTATGTTTTAACTTTATTTTTGATGGCTTTATCTAAATTTCAAAGATTCTTGCCTAATTTACTCCTCATCACACAGCAAACTTAAAATTTTCAACTTTTCATAATTGGCCCAGCAATTAAAAAAGTTGAAAATCACTTCACATTAGAAATTAATTTTATTTGGAATTGAGATTGATAGGCCAAGTATAGATTTTTGAAGTATTTTATAAGGACTGATGTTGTGACAGATTGAATAATTTGATGCCTTTGAGTCTTAATGAGAATCTTGTTAAGACTAATAACCATCTAGAGAAGATAGTCTTTTTTGATTAGGATCAGTAACAGCTAAAGATGTTCAGAGTTACTATAAAGCTATAACATTGTTTCCTAAGTAATGGAAGCAAGACCCCAAATTTAATGAGTTTAATAAATATAAAATTAAAGCTCAGAAATGAAGATAAAATATTTCAATATATCATGAATATTAATTTTAGAATAACTTAAGAACTTAAGATACTTTTAAGAAGGATCTGATCAGCAGATAGTATAAAATGAAATTCAAGAAGACTGTGGTGGTGATGACTTAGCAGTGTATAGTTATCTCCAAACTCATTGAGTTGAATGCCCTAAATATGTATAACATTTTACATGTCAATCAGACCTCAATAAAGTGGTTAAAAAAATTGAGAAAGATTAGATTTTCTTAAGACAAAAAGAAAGTTATGAGGACAGATGTAAATTATATTAAAACCTCATGTATCTAATGTTATTTCCATTTTGAGACATGGATGAGAACAGGAAGGCAACTACAAAATGCTTTTTAGCAGCTAGAACGGATAGACTAAAATCTGTGGGTTTAATTTAATGGATTTTCTTATAGGCTCTTATCATGGATAAATTTACTCTTGGTTGACATACTTTTCATATAAACTGGAATACTTTGTTTCTAAATCCATACGTTAGAAGTGTAATAGAGTTGGATAGAAACAGGCCCAGGACAGTAGACAAAGCCTAACAGTGTGGAAGCAAGCAGTAAAATGCTGAAAAGCAAATACAAGCTGGACAAGTTATCTGGAGCTCTTTACAGGAAAACATAGTCTTTAAAGTGTCTTAGGCACTTCCCCAATGACTTTTTCTCATTTTAAAAATAATAATCAGTTAACTTGGCTGGGCGAGTTGGCTCAGGCCTATAATTCCAGCACTTTGGGAGGCCAAGGGAGGAGAATTGCTTGAGCCCAGGAGTTTGAGACCAGCATGTATAACATACCAAGACCCCATCTCTCCTAAAAATAAAAAAATTAGTCGGGTGTGGTGGTACACATCTGTAGTCCAGCTGCTTGATTGGCTGGGGTGGGAGAGCTGCTTGAGGCTGCAGTGAGCCAAGATCATGCCACTGTGCTCCAGACTGGATGACAGAGTGAGACCCAAAAAGATAAAAATCAGTTAATAACTAGCATTGCTGATGTATGAGTAGAAAGTAAAACTAGAATAACAAATTAATATTTTAAAGTATTTCTAATATAAGAGGTTGGTGAGATAAGTCTTAAAGTGGAAATACATGATTTAGAGTTCCTGACATTTACTTTTGAGAAAATAATAAAAATTATTAGAAATTTAGAAAGGGAAGATACAATACCTATTCTTTTTATAATTTATTTAAAAATAATAAAATGTGGGCCGGGCACAGTGGCTCAAACCTGTAATCCCAGCACTTTGGGAGGCCGAGGTGGGTGGATCACGAGGTCAAGAGATCGAGACGATCCTGGTCAACATGGTGAAACCCCGTCTCTACTAAAACTACAAAAAATTAGCTGGGCATGGTGGCACGTGCCTGTAATCCCAGCTACTCAGGAGGCTGAGGCAGGAGAATTGCCTGAACCCTGGAGGCGGAGGTTGCGGTGAGCCGAGATCGCGCCATTGCACTCCAGCCTGGGTAACAAGAGCGAAACTCCATCTCAAAAATAAAATAAAATAAAAAAAATAATAATAATAATAAAATGTTACTAGAATTTGACCTAAATATTTGGAGAGAAACTAGAATATATCCAATGGAAGCAGACTAATATAGAAACATGAGTACTGTGGTATTTGAGGTCCTCAATCACCCATTTTTTGACCTTTCGCCAACTTTCTAGGCTGTAATCGTCCCATCTGTGAAATGATGAGCATGACCTCATCATTACCATAGTTGCTGTGATGTAATTCATCTTTAAAACTTAATGTCTGTCTAAATTGAAAGCATCCACATGTCAGTTTCTACTTAGAAATTTGTGGTTCTTATATTCTTATAGCTTGAAGGATCATATTTTCTTGCCATTTATGTTTAAAATGATGTGTAATCTGGAGACACAGTTTTTCCAGTAGTGAGCAATATAGGTAGAAATCTGGGTACAGGCTGCATATATTTTTACATTGTTAATGGTTGAATTGAAGAGGTTTCAAATTTCAAAATCTCTTTACATTAGAAATACTCTTGGCATAGGAGTATGGCATATTACATATTGTGAACTAAAGGCATATGAAGAAATTATCTGTTTAACAAAGTAATTTTACTGGAAGTAACTCAAAATTATGAATATTATAATTCCAAATTTATCTCAGCAGGTTAGCATGATTACATAGTGACATTTTGTTTTATAATGATACAGGAGATCAGGTAGGCTGTACTTACCGCTGTTTCATAGCTAGTGAGATAAATTATTTTCTGAAAATCTCAGTTGGGCCAATCTCTGAGCCAGATATGCTAACTTTTGCCTTTGGGGTTATGTGATTTACTGGGGTCAGATTAGTCAGGTGTTTGTATAGTAGTCATTTTTACTATATGCTGTGTGGACAAATTGAAAAGAAAGGACTCAATTTTTTTCTTCCCTTAAATCTAATTGGAAATGCAATACATGAACCTAAGACAGAACATTTTACTCAGCAATATATTAATTAGTGGCAATTTAAATATTTGATGATTGCTAGGTAGCAAAGAATTCTCTAGATCCTGAGGAATTTATGGAGAAAAGGTGTTTCAAATTGGGTTTTTTGAGGATGAGGAATGTATAGAGGCAAAGATACCTAGGCAGAAGGTATGCTTGCCTACAAGTGATAGAGGCAGAAGGTATGCTTGCTTACAAGTGATAGAGGCAGAAGATATGCTTGCTTACAAGTGATAGAGGTAGGAGCTTTAGTAAACTCATTCTTTTCTTCTTCATTCTGAGAATTATAGATAAACTAAGAAAACATGGCTGAGGACCTTAGTATCTTTAGGAACTTAAAGGAAAATGTAGGGTGTAAAAAATAGTACAGAGTCTGTTACAGTGGCTCATGCCTATAATCCCAGTACTTTGGGAGGCTGAGGCTCAAGGATCACTTGAGGTCAGAAGTTTGAGACTAGCCTGGACAAGGTAGTGAGACCTGGTCTCTACTAAAAACTAAAAATATTAGCCGGGTGTCGTGGTGAGCACCTGTAGTCCCAGCTACTTGGGAGGCTGAGAGGTGGGAGGATGACTTGAGGCCAGGAGGTGGAGGCTGCAGTGAGCTGTGATCACTTCAGTGCACTCTAGCCAGTGTGACAGAACAAAACCCTGTCTCAAAACAAAACAAAAAAAAAAAACAGAAGAGTCACAGCCATATATCTGGGCTGTATAATTGTTAACTATGTGAGAAACTTCTTGAAGAGTTGTGTGTTGAGAATGTATGCCTTAGGGCAATACTACTCATCTGTGTCTCAGGACCAGTGTTAGTCCTTGAATTGTCTGTTAGAAGATAAACACTGAAAACAAATGTCTAGAGACTTCTATAACAATCTGATAATACTGTGACATTCAAACATGGAATCATTTTTCTAGTAATTCATTTTTATTTTATATAATTATAGGTCCATGATGTGTAGAAGATTTTTTTTAGTAAGTTATCTTTTTTGATGTTTGAGAAGCACTGATTTTCTTTTATTTGCCACATTAGGAATGCCTAATTTTATAGATCAAAAAAGTAACCATTATTTGAGTTTTGTTAAAAGTAAGAGTTAATATACAAGAGATTATTACATGAATAAACCTTAATAGCAAGATAGACAAAATTAAATTTGAGCACTGTGATGAAAAGAAGTAGTTTTGAGAGTCACTGTGAATCACAAATGTGATCTAGACAAGCATTAAAATTTCCTGTGAGAAATTATTTGGGAACAAAGTTATCTTTACAACAGAATTAGATGTTGGAATATAGATAGTCATAAATGAAGTGGATCAGTGCTATGATATCTTGCTAATGATTCTTGCCAAGATAGAAATTTTTATGTAGGGCAACCACCTGTGATTGAGGCAAGTCCTAGGCAAAATGAGAAATATTTCAAATTTGTCCTAGCATGCCTGGCTTCCCCCTTTATATTTTTCTGGGCTATTGCCCTTCTTCACCTTCTTTTTTTGTTCACCTAGTCACATGCTTATTCAGCTTCCCCCTACTACTTTCATTTATTAAAGCAAAAAAGGTCTGATACCCATCATTTATATTTCTTTGGTTTACTTTAGTATGCTATTTCAGTCAATATGCAGTTTTACCTGGATATTTGCATTATATTTCTAATAGTGAGATAACAGATTTTTCACTTTTGTAAATTTTTTTTTCAAGTTTTAATAACAAGTTAAATTATTTGGGGTTAGGAGGCAGAGACTTCAGAATTATCATGTTTATTTCTTCTGTTCTTGCTTTTAAAGCTTTTGGTTAGGACTAGGGGAGTAGAGACCAAAGGGAGCTGCTGGTTCTTAGCTTATTTGTGAGGAGATGTGGATGCTAGAGATACAGTTCTGGATTTGCTTGAGAGAAAAATTCACTAGCAGTACTTTTCTCTGCTTTCTTCTTTGTTTGAACCTAGCTTGGGTCTCCCTTTTGCACTGTTCTTTATCTTAAGAGCATCCATCCCTCTCGTTACAAAACTAACTGATGGTAAATATTTTACATTTCTTGATTAACTTGGCATTTAAAATTTCTTACAGCATTTCTATTCTAAAGTCTTTCTTTGAAAGATGACTTTTACATTATTTCTACTCTAGGAAAGAAAATACGGAACAATAAGGACTAGAGCGTATTTATGGTAGAGTTCCTTTATGGAGAAAGATAAAATAAATTTGGAGAAATTAATAGGATTATAGTGTAGACAGTTTGGAATGTAAATCTTGTCTTAATCCTGCTGAGGTTAGGTTAGGCCCTTTTGGCATACTGAATCAAGTATTGATGTCAGGGAAAATAAGGAGAAAATGGAGAAGACATCGAAAAACAAAATTTTAAAGGAGATTACAATCTAAACTTAATCTCTAAAGCAATTGCTTTTAGGTTCTTTATGCATGTTCTCTAAGAAATAATGTTTTACTTGGTGTTTAGATTTCCAGTAAGCCACATCAGTATATTTTACCCACTGAGTATTGTTCAGTAATGTTTCTGGGAAATTGTGGCTAGAATTCCAAATTAATGCCCTCAGAGCTATTATGCTCTAAAATCACTAAACATCCATTCCTCTCCGCTTGTCAAGGTGGAGAAGTGAGGGCAGGGTGAGGTGGCTCATGCCTGTAATCCCAGTACTTTGGGAGGCGGAGGCTAGCGGATCACGAGGTCAAAAGATGGAGACCATCCTGGCCAACATGGTGAAACCCTATCTCTACTAAAAATACACAAAATTAGCTAGACGTGGTGGCGTGCGCTTGTAGTCCCAGCTACTCAGGAGGCTGAGGCAGGAGAATCGCTTGAACTTGGGAAGCAGAGGTTGCAGTGAGCTGAGATTGTGCCACTGCACTCCAGCCTGGTGACAGAGTGAAACTCTGTCTCAAAAAAAAAAAAAGATGGAGGGGAGGGAATGTGTGCCATCTCAGCCTAAGCCATGTTCAGATGAACTTTTAGGCTTAGTGATAGATATGTTTTCCTGTGGAAACTGACACAGTTGTTGGAGTCCAAGTTTGGGTGGTGGAGGAGGCACCCATGTGTGGTTCCTGTTTATAGCTTACTCAGAGTCTCTTGGTGAATTTTAATTTCTCAGAGAACAAACAGTAGGAAGGATAACAACATGGCAGTGTTGAATAGTGGTTAAGCCTTCAGGGTTTAGAGTTAGATGCAAGACAGTCAGGATTGAATTTGTATTGCTTCACTGATTATTTTTGTGCCCTTAACTTAGTAAACCTTTTTGTTTCTTCATTTGCAAGATGATAATATGGAACCTACTATGTAAGGTTGTTTTGCGGAGTAAATGGGATGTGTTGCCTGTCACAAAGTGGTGACTGTTATTGGTAGTAGGTAATACATGGTATTGGTCAAATTTGAACTTTGCTTGGAAATTGTTAACTGTTGTTAAATAAGTATCCCTGGCTACTCACTCTGGATCAGGCTATATTAAAACTGTCCTCTGGAAACATGGTTCTCTAGCTGCTCTGAGGATATCTACCTTTTCTTTGAGATGTTCAGTCCTCCTCCTCCCCCAGTATTAATTTTTTGCCTTCTTCCTCACAGAAACTTCTTCCTGTTAGCTTCTCAAATGTATCCTCCAGATTATGTGAAAATCCATTGGGGGTTTCTTGCAATGTAATTGCAGACAGATAGAACCTTGATTTTATTTATATGGATGATGATTTTCTGTATTTGTTCCAGATAATATGGTAAAATTAAATAATTATTTTATAAATTGTTTTATATTTAACATATTATTTAGCTCCCTGAGCAATTCTTTGGGAGACACTATTTTTTTTGTTTTGGGAAATGGCAGTTTGAGAGAGAAAGTAATTTCTATAGACTTAATTACATAGGGCAATATGAGAAGGGTAAATTGACTGAGTTTACTATAGGGTGAAAAATAGGCCACTGGTAATATGGAGAGGTGGAGATAAAAGATCGTTTAACTTTTTATGTCTGCTTTTTCCACTTGAGTAATTTTTTCAGTGTAAATTTCTGTCAAAATGATTTCTGGGGCAAGTATATACAATCGAATTTTTGATAATTGACAGAAAACCTTTCAGAAACGCAGCACAAATTTATATTCCAACTAATAGGAGCTGGTTTTTCTACAGTCTTGGAAACACTGGGCTATATGTATACAAATCTTTAATATTTTTGTAATTTTATAGGCCAAAATCCTCATTTAAATTAGATGGTGCTATAGACTTCTGTGTTTATTGGTCGTTGGTGTTCTTTCATGTCCTTTGCTCATTTCTTATTGGGCTATTTTAAAAATTCATCGTAAGAGCTCTTTGTACATTAGAGATGTAAATCTCTTCAATCAGATATTACAGTCTTTTCCTCCATATTGTTTTTGGTCTTGAGTTTCACAAGTAATTTATGCTGTCAGTTTTGAAATGTCATGCTTACTCTGTTTCTCTCATACTATGTTTAAAATAGCAAAATATTAAGCCCTTTTTTGTTAGAATAACATGGAACTCTCTGATCTAATGAGTTAGTAATTTGAATATAAAGGGCTATTATTGTTTTTATATAATTAATTTAAATACACTGTGATTTTTATTGTGAATGATCTCTACTCTCTTTTTTCTGATTTTTAACTGGTAGGCTTGAATGTTCTTTTTGTTGGTTATCTCCAGTCTCAGTCTATTCTTTTCTTAAAATATACAGGTAACACTAGATTGAAACTTGCTAAAAATATGATAGTTCTTATAGAGAAAGACTTTGAGAGTTGACTTCTTTTCCTGCTAAGTAAAGAGTATTTGTGGTTGAGTTTCCTGGATTGGGTTGACACAAAGATGTACTTTGGAAAGAACAGATTAAATTTTGTTTTAACAAGTGTGAGGTTCAACCATGTACTTCTTGTACTTTATTTTAATTGGCACATTGTGTACAGTGAGCATTTGTTTTTGTTGAATCAAGAAAGCTTCCTCCAAATTCATGATTCTAGGAAGATTTTGTTCTATTGATTGATTTTTTTTTTTTTTTTTTTAATTTTAATTTTTTTTTAACAAGAGCTCTCATGAGTTTGTTTTGGAAGCCCCTTTTTTTTTTAAAGGTGAGTGTGGTCATATGGTGTTTGATGCTTTATCGTATTTAAACATGTGATCTGAAATTTTCATATGACTTTTATATACAGTTTGTAATACTGTTGGCTATACTCATCTAGTTTTTATAGCTTTGAAGATTTTGAGTTCTTACACAGTAATGGTTGTTTAGTAAAATGGTGGTGCATTTACCACTTGGACCTACAAACTAGTAGATCATTCTGAGGTTAGCTGGTTGACTTCTTTATAATCTGGTCATTCTATTTGCAAAGTATTTAGGTATTAGCTGGTATTTAGGTGCCTAGCATTATTGGTAGCTCGTCTCTGTTTTCCTAGTAGGTAGGTGTGGGGAATGAATTTGTAAAGGTGAACTTAAAATTCTCATCCACAAGCATGCTAGCCTAAGCTCCAAGTTAAACATAACCAAAACCATGTGGCTTTCCCCAACTGTATTTTATTCTCAAGATTTGTTGTCCTTGTATTTTGGAAATGGGGAAGGAGAACTTTTTAATTTTAGTTATTTGAATGAAGTCTTTAGCTGTTCTCGTTGATTGCATCCATGCTAATTAAATATAAAAAGATTTATTCAGCTCGGCTTAGTGGCTCACACCTGTGATCCCAGCAGTTTGGGAGGCCAAGGCGGGCAGATCAGGAGGTCAGGAGATCGAGACCATCCTGGCTAACACGGTGAAACCCATCTCTACTAAAAATACAAAAAATTAGCTGGATGTGGTGGTGGGCGCCTTGTAGTCCCAGCTACTCGGGAGGCTGGGGAAGGAGAATCGCATGAATGCAGGAGGCGGAGGTTGCAGTGAGCCGAGTTCTTGCCACTGCGCTCTGGCCTGGGAGACAAAGTGAGACTCCGTCTCAAAAAAAAAAAAAAAAAAAAAAAAAGATTTATTCATTTGGGTATTTGTATTTGGTTATCTTAGGCTTAGCTAGAATGACATTAAAATTGTAATGTCTTAAGAAGTATTATAGAGTATGGAATCGATTTCTTTGAGTTGGAGACAAGATGTTATAGCTAAGAGTACAAGTGTTAGAACCCGACCTTATATAAATTTTGAGATAATAGGTTTCCTCTCAGACTTATTTTTATCATCTGTAAAGTTGGTATAAAATAGGCCGTATGTCACAGAATTATGTGAATTAAATACATTAACGGATATAAAGTGTGTATAGTGCCTTGCGCTTGTCAAATGATAGTTATTATTATAGTTTTCTATTAGGATCTGCAATTTAAAAATTTGTTTATCTGAGGCCGGGTGTGGTGGCTCACACCTGTAATCTCAGCACTTTGGGAGGCTGAGGTGGGCAGATCACAAGGTCAAGAGATTGAGACCATCCTGGCCAACATGGTGAAACCCCGTCTCTACTTAAAAAATAGAAAAATTAGCTGGGCATGGTGGTGCACACCTGTAGTCCCAGCTAAGTGGGAGGCTGAGGCAGGAGAATTGCTTGAACCCGGGAGGTGGAGGTTGCAGAGAGCCGAGATTGTGTCACTGCACTCCAGCCTGGTGCCTGGGGACAGAGTGAGACTCTGTCTCAAAAAAACCAAAAATTTGTTTATCTGTATCTAGGTATGTACAAAACCACTTTTCGTTATCTACCATCTTTGTTTAAATTATAGTAAAACCCATTTCTGAAAAAGTATACACATACAAGTTAAATAAAATGGAAACTTTTGCTAACAAACCAGTAGACATTCTGGCAGCTACATAGTGACAGCTACAGCTAGTGCTTGACTTACGACCACGATTGGTTCCGACAGACCCGTCGTAACACAATTTGGTCGTAAGTTGTGTAGGCTATGCACACGGAGTTGGTAGTGCTGCTGGAAGCTGGTCCGCACTGTCGTACGCCCAGCTGGGTGACGTTTGCGCTGCCAGACGCGGAGCAGTCGTGGCTAGCGTTTGTGGTCGTAAAGTCGAATGGTCGTAAGTTGCATTGGTCGTAAGTCGATCAATACCTGTATGTGGGAGACTGAGGTGAGAAGTTTGAGTTCAGGGGTTTGAAGCTGCAATGAGCTATGATCGGGCCACTGTGTTCTAGCCTGGGCAACAAAACAAAACTGTGAATATAATGAATACATTTGATAAGGGACTGAAATTGATAGAAAACTTTAATGTTCATTACAATTGATAGATTATCATGGAAATAATTTTCTTGTTTAAAGAAATAAAATTGGCCTGGCATGGTGGCTCATGCCTGTAATGTCACCACTTTGACAGAAGGTAAGGCAAGAGGATTGCTTGAGACCAGCCTGGGCAACATGGTGAGACTCGTCTTTAAAAAGAAAAAAGAAAAGGCCTAGCAAGATGACCCACACCTCTAATTCCAGCACTTTGGGAGGCTGAAATGAGTGGATAACTCAAGCCCAGGAGTTCGAGACCAGCCTGGGCAACATGGCAAAACACTGTCTCTACAAAAAAATACAAAAATGAGCTTGGCTTGGTGGTACACTCCTATAGTCCCAGCTACTTGGGAGGCCGAGGTGGGAGAATCACTTAAGCCTGAGAAGTTGAGGCTCCAGTGAGCGGTATTTGTACCACTTCACTCCAGCCTGGGCAACAGAGCAAGACCCTGTCTCAAAAAAATACAACAACTTATTTTCACTCAAAACATTTTAATAACTTTGGCATGCTATTTTATTTCTTCATATCTGCTATGTATTGTGGTTCCAGTCTAAAGCACAAGGATATAAGAAGTTGCAATTTGGTGTTCCAGTTCTTTAGAAATTGGATGTGCCCTTGCATAGCAAGATCTTCCAACTGATTTTATTTTTGGTAGCATAAAATTCCTTTGTAACACTGAGATTTTAAGAACATAAGTAAAGACTGCTTTGTAGACTTTTAAAAATTACTATATAGATAATGTTTGTCCCCCTCAATGACCTAACTCATAGCAGAGGCTAAAAAATGTATACATATGTTTACACATGTAAATTATGTTCTGCTATGTTTGATATAATTTATTTTTCTCATATTTTTTTTTTTACTTATTTTTATTTTTTATTTTTCATAGAGATGGTAGATGGTGTCTTGCCATGTTGCCCAGGCTGGTCTCAAACTCTGACTTCAAGTGATCTCCTGTTGCATCCACCCAGTTTAGCTGGGACTATAGGCACATGCCACCATTCCCAGCTAATTTTTAAAATTTTTGTGGAGACTGGGTCTCACTGTGTTGCCCATGTGGGTCTTGAACTCCTGGCCTTAAGTGATGTTCCTGTGTCAGCCTCCCAAAGTGCTTAGATTATAGGCCTGAGCCACCTCACCTGGCCCAATAAATGATTTAAATGACACTTTAAAATGATTTATGTTTTATTAATCAGAACATCTTTACAAACTTGAAAAATAGTAGTACATATACGTGTAATATATCTCCTTTCAGACACTGCATAAATGAATATATGAATTTATTATCTTTTCCAGCATCCACTCTACAACCTATGCCCTGACACCCCTAAGGGTCTTAGATACATCAATTAAGAAACCTCTGGGCTAGGATTTACTATACATTTGTTTCAAAATAAGCCTGCATTTCTTTTACAATCTCCTCTGACTCCTAATGGTTTTTTTTCCTATTCATTAAATATCCTGATACTTTAGCATATCTGTAATTATAAAAAATATCAAATTATATCATTAATGATTAATCACTTGAAGCCAGGAGTTTGAGACCAGTCTAGGTAATATAGCAAGTCCTGGTCTCCACAAAAAATTTTAAAAAGTTAATGGAGCATGGTAGTGTGCACCTGTAGTGTCAGCTGTCTGGGAGACTGAGGTGGGAGGATCGTTTGAGGTCAGGAGTTTGAAGCTTCAATGAGCTGTCCTCTGGCTGCTGCATTCCAGCCTGGGCAACAAAACAAGACTGTCTAGAAGAAAAAGAAAAAAAAATGAAAAACAACTACATTGTTGCAGAGTACAAATAGTGAAATGATTATTTATACAATGATTATGTTTTTGATGTTCAAAGGAGGTTCTTGTAATTCACAGCATTGAAAACTTTTTGTCCTGAAGCAACAGTTCGTTTTCTCTAGTTCGTTATTAATCAGTAGACCATGATATGTAATAATATGAGACTGATAATGTGAGGCTTTTTGGAGATGGTGCTGTTTTGCAATTACAAAAGAGTTGTGATCTGAAAATTGGTCTGTTACTTGGTAGCTTTAACTACATTTTCTATACAAGTGGTGTATTTATAGATTGTTCCTTTAGCTGGACTCTGAGCTTTTGGGAGAAGAGAATAGATCTTCTTGATAATTTTATTTTTAAGAATGGTAGAGAGGCTTATACTGAAATGTCGAGTAAGTCAAGGAATGAAAAAGCATATGTGTGTGCATCTAAGACTTCAGAACTAAAAGTCCTAAAATTACCTTCTACTGTTCTTTCCTTTGACATAGTGAGTCTAGAGGCTTAGCTCCCTTGTTAGGAATGAGAGTGCACTTCCCTTAGTCCTAAACCACTGGAACTGGCTGGCTTTTTTTTTTTTTTTTTTCCTGAGATGGAGTCTCACTCTGTCACCCAGGCTGGAGTGAAATAGCACGATCTCAACTCACTGCAACCTCCACCTCCTGGGTTCAAGTGATTCTCCCACCTCAGCCTCCTAAGTAGCTGGGATTATGGGCATCCACCATCACGTCTGGCTAATTTTGGTGTTTTGTGGACCTGAAGTTTCACCAATTGGCCAGGTTTGTGTTGAACTCCTGACCTCAGGTGATCCTCCCACCTCAGCCTCCCACAGTGCTGGGATTTCAGGAGTGAGCCCCCAAGCCCAGCTGGAACTGGCTTTGTGAAATGGGGCAAAGGTTTTTGGAAAAGCTAGGGCTTTGGGGACTTATAAGTAGTGGTCTTCAAAGCTCTCAGTGTTGAGGTCAAGCTCCAAAGGGGCAAGGAGCCACAAGGACTTGATATGTTGAATTTTTAAACCCCTACTCATTTTCATTTTTGGGAGTGGCCCTGATTTCTGTTTGTACCACTCGTTATTTCTTCTCCAGATCTTTTCTCTGATGTTATTGAGAACTTTACTTCTCAAAGTGCGATTACCGAACCAGGAGTGCACTCTTGGGAGCATCTTTAGAAACACAGAATCTTAGGCCTTACTCTATGGCCTACTGAATCAGAATCTTTTATTTTAACAAGATCCCTAGAAGATTCTTATGTTCACTATTACTTGAAAAGTGCTACTTTAGAATATATTTTCAAACCTTTTCTTGTTCTTGAGAACTTTTATTCAGGCCTTGTGATGTTTTTGTTTGTTTTTATATTTTATTTTTGAGACAGAGTCTTGCTCTTATGGCCCAGGCTAGAGTGCAGTGGTACAATCTTGACTCACTGTAACCTTTGTCTCCCGAATTCAAGTGATTCTCCTGCTTTAGCCTCCAGAGTAGCTGGGATTACAGGCATGCACCACCATACCTGGCTAGTTTTTGTATTTTTTAGTAGAAACAAGGTTTTACCATGTTGGCCAGGCTGGTCTTGAACTCCTGACCTCAGGTGATCTGCCCGCCTTGGCTTCCCAAAGTGCTGGAATTACAGGCATGAGCTACTGCACCTGGTCGGTTTGTTTTTTTTTGAGATAGTCTCATTCTGTTGCCAAGTTAGAGTGTAGTGGCACAGTCATAGCCCACTGCAGCTTTGAATTCCTGGGCTAAAGTGATTCCCTCACTTCAGCCTCCTGAATAGCTGGAATTACAGGCACACCACCACACCTGGCTTATTAAAAACAATTTTTTTGGGGGGTGGGTAGAGATGAGGGTTTCACTGTGTTGCCCAGGCTGGTCCTTGAACTCCTGGCCTCAAGCAGTCCTCCTGCCTTGCTCTTCCAGAGTGGTAGGATTACAGGTGTGAGCTGCTGTGCCTGGCCTCTGCTGGATGTTTTACTACAAGAAAAGGGTTGTATTAGTCCATTTCGACACTGTTAAAAAGAAATACCCGAGACTGGGTAATTTATTAAGAAAAGAGATATAACTAACTCACAGTTTCACATGGCTGGCAGGCCTCAGGAAACTTAAAATCATGGTAGAAGGGGAAGCAGCCTTTCCTTCACAGGGAGGCAGGAGAGAGAAGTGTTATGTGAATTGTCAAACATTTATATACCCATCAGAACTTGTGAGAACTCACTGACCATCGAAAGAATAGCATAACAGAAACCACCCCCATGATGCAGTCACCCCCTCGACACATGAGAATTATTAATATAATTTGAGATGAGATTTGGGTGGGGACAGAGCCAAACCATATCAAGGGGATTGGGAATTTTTGTGTACAATGTTAAATGGCACATAAGTGGAGCAGAAAAGCTGGTTATCAATAGGACATGGCATTTTAGAATGCTTTTATTTCATAGTAACCAGCAAGATGTGACCGATCAGGCTATCAAGAATAGAGGATCAATAAGGAAATTTACCTTTTTTGGGGGACTGTTGTGTTCTTAAGGTTGGTTTAGATAAGGATTTCTAGAAGCTAAGAAGGGAAGAGGAGTTGTTGCTTTGATTTGCTCTGAAGGAAAGGAAGGGGCTTGTATCTTAAAGAACTGAGAAAACTTTAGTAAATAAACATTTCTCATAAAATTGTGTTTGCCCCATTTATTTTCTCATGTTTTGTTTAACCTCTTTCCCTTAGCACCTGCTTCCAGTTAATCACCAATATTTGTTTTTAACCTACCAGATGTTTCTAGTAAGCCTTCACTAGTTCTGTATTTCTATTATTATTGCCTCAAGCTCATATCCTCCTTTCTCCACTAGCAATTCTTAGCCAGGGCAGTTGTATCTTTTCACCCCCAAAGGAGACATTTGGTAGTATGTGGAGACATTTTTGGTTGTTACAACTGGGTAGTTGGTGCTTACTGGTATTCAGCGGGAGGACAGAGATGCTGCTAAACATCCTACAATGCACAGGACAGCCCTCTCCCCGCTCCCCTCCATAAGAAAGAGTTATCCAAAGTCAATAGTGCTGATGTTGAGAAACCCTGACCTAGACAATTGCCAGAGTCCTCTAATTTGTTGACTGCCGCTTTTATTCCCTCTTCCCCAATTCATCCTCCACACTGCTACAGACCTTCCTTTCTAAAATGCAAATTTGATTTTGTCATTTCTTCATTGCCCATGGAATGATGCTCAAATTCCTTAGCATAGGATCTAAAACAACAATTTTTATTTACTTATTTTAATTTTAATTTTTTTTTTTGAGACAGGAGACCATATATCACTGCAGCCTTGACCTCCTGGGCTCAAGCGATGCTCCCATCTCAGCCTCCAACATAGCTGGGACTATAGGTATGGGCCACCATGCCCGGCTACTTTTTTCGTTTTTTTGTAGAGATGGGGACCCACTGAGTTTGTTGCCCAAGCTGATCTTGAACTTGGCTTGAACGGTCCTCCCACCTCAGCCTCCCAAAGCACCGGGATTACAGGCATGAGCCGCTGTGCTTGGCACTAAAGCAATACTTTAAAAAATTGTATTCAAGCTTCATCATTTGTTTTCAAACTTGACCTCTGCTAATGGTGAACTGAATACTTGTGGTTTCCTCTAAGCATCACCATGCTTCCATACATACTTTTCCCCAGCCTATACTACGAACTTCCATCACTCATTTTTCCTATCTAGGCACATTTATTCTTCCTTCAGAACTTCCTCAGGCATTTGCTTTCTCTGTGAAGCCACCTTTGTTTTCGCTCTATTCATACATGATTACTTACACATTATTATATCACAGTGGGTTATGATTATTTATATTTTTCTTACCTCCTAGCCTATATTCTGTCTTCCAGCAAATGTTGTGTGTTGTATTCATCATTGTATTCCAAATACTTAGAATGGTTCCTCATACTAAGTAGGTTCTCAGATGTTGGGTTTAAAGTACATTTTTTCTTCAAAGAGTAGTTAGTCATTTTGAAATTAGCGTATAGATGAGGTATTGTTACAGTTTACAGTCTATGCAGTGAAACTTTTCTATATAATCTTTTGTCTCACCATCATGTTTTCCATTCCTACCATCTCTTTTCAGGTGTTATTTTGTATTCTGTTGCTTATAATGGTACATTAAATAGTATTGATACCTTAGGGCAGGAGTATCCTATCTTTTGGCTTCTCTGGGCCACATTGGAAGAAGAATTGTCTTGGGTCACACATAATATACACTAACACTAATGATAGCTGATGAACTTTAAAAATTTGCAGAATCTCATAGTGTTTTAAGAAAGTTTACAAATTCGGGTTGGGCTGCATTTAGAGTCATCTTGGGCCTCGGGTTGGACAGGCTTGCCTTAGGATCTTTTCATTTAGTATCACAGAAGAGATTTACTTTTGGATTAGAGTTTAATCTCTGGTTGTTTATTGAAAAAATTTAGGGTTTATAATGGCACATATCTGGAGATCTCTTCTACCTAAGAGGAGAGGTATTAGGCTATTTAAGGGTGTTTGGGCATGGAGTGGAGGGAGAAGAGTGATGAATTCCCTTTTTGAAATGAAGAAACATCATTATTTAATGAGTGCAGTTAAGGAGTGAGGATGATACATTGGATGTACTTAAAACCTTTTTTGGGGCCAGGCAGGTGGATCACTTGAGCCCAGGAGTTTGAGACTAGCTTGTGCGACATAGAGAGACCCCCGCCTCTACAGAAAATACAGAAATTAGCCGGGCATAGTGGTACACACCTGTAGTCCCAGTTCTTCAAGAGGCTGAGGTGGGAGGATCCCTTGAGCCCAGGAGGCAGAGGTTGCAGTGAGCTGAGATTGCACCACTGCACTCCAGCCTGAGACCCTCCTGACTAATAAACCAAAAAACAAAACCAAAAAACCCAAGAAACAAAAACAAACCAAATAAACATCCTTTTTTTTCAATGCTTACTGTACTGCATAGAAAGTAAATTGTATTGACTGTAATAACTGGGTCAAAAGTACGTCTGAGACCTGGTATGGTGGCTCATGCCTGTAATCCCAACACTTTGGGAGGCCAAGGTAGGTGGATCACCTGAAGTCAGGAGTTTGAGACCAGCCTGGCCAACATGGTGAAACCCCGTTTCTAGTAAAAATACAAAACATAGCTAAGCATGGTGGCACATGCCTGTAATCCCAGCTACTCGGGAGACTGAGGCAAGAGAATCACCTGAATTCAGGAGGCGGATGTTGCAGTGAAATATCGCACCACTGCGCTCCAGCTTGGGTGATGGAATCTCAAAAAAAAAAACTCTGTGTAAAAAAAAAAAAAAAAAAAGTACATCTGAATTTGTGAAGGATCTGAATTACAGAAGACCTTTTAAAATAATAGTTTTCATGCATTCAGATATGTGACCTGGCATTTGGGTGTCCGGGTATAAATTATTTGACAACTTGAGATTTTGATTAAGTAAACATTCTTTGATATGTTGAACTTTCCTGGTAGAGTAAGGTTAATATTTAGCCCAGAAATTTTCTCCCCCCCCCCCATATATATATATATTTTATTATTATTATTATTATTTTTTTTTTTTTTAGAGACGGGGTCTCACTCTGCCACCCAGGCTGGAATGCAGTGGGCTCACTGCAACCTCCGCCTCCCGGGTTCAAGCAATTCTCCTGCCTCAGCCTCCCAAGTAGCTGGGACTACAGGCGCATGCCGCCACACCCGGCTAATTTCTTTTATATTTTATTAGAGATGGGGTTTCACCATGTTGCCCAGATCGGTCTTGAACTCCTGAGCTCAGGCAATCCGAGCTCAGGCAATCCGCCCACCTTGGGGTCCCAAAGCGCTAGGATTACAGATGTGAGCCACTGTTGCCTGGCCAAATATGAATCTTAAATTAGTGAATGTCTTATTAAGTTTATGTTATTCTAATTGTATGTCAAAGCCTTGTAGTTTTCTGTTTGAACACAAAAATACGCAATTTATTTCTTATACCCTTTCTAAGGAATTAAGGTACTAGAAATAACTTGTTTTAAAATTCTTTCACTTTTAATGTGGTTCCATGGCATGAATCATTAAGGGTACATACTTACAAAAGTTCCCTCTGTGGCTTTTCTAAAGTATCATAGGAAATAAAAAGAAAAAAAATTTCCTCTGATATAGACATAGAGACTAGTTAGATTGGTTCAAGATTTCATAAAGGTGTAAGTATGTTAGTCTCATAAAACTTTGTCCACTGGGCTGGACGTTATGGCTTACACCTATAATCCCAGCACTTTGGGAGATGGTGGATGGCTTGAGTCCAGGAGTTCAAGACCAGCCTGGGTGACATAATGAGACCCCATCTCTGCTAAAATTACAAGAATTAGCCTGTCATGGTGGCACATGCCCGTAGTCCCAGCTACTTGGGAGCCTGAGGCGGGAAGGTCACTTGACCCTGGGAAGTGGAGGTTGCCACTGAGCTGTAATTACACGATTGCACTCCAGCCTGGGCAACAGAATGAGGCAGTGTCTGAAAAAGAAAAAAGACCTTTCTTAATGCAAGTTTAGTTACTCTTTTTCTTTTTTGAGACGGAGTCTCGCTCTGTCCCCCAGGCTGGAGTGCAGTGGTGCAATCTTGGTTCTATGCAACCTCTGCCTCCCGGGTTCAAGCAAGTCTCCCTCCTCGGCCTCTCGAGTAGCTGGGATTACAGGCACCATCTCCATGCCTGGCTAATTTTTATATTTTTAGTAGAGATGGGATTTCACATGTTGGCCAGGCTGGTCTCGAACTCTTGCCCACCTTGGCCTCCCAAAGTGCTGGGATTACAGGTGTGAGCCCCACCCCTACCCCCACCCTCCCCCTTTTTTTTTTTTGAGACAGAGCCTCGCTCTGCTGCCCAGGCTGGAATGCATTGGCACCATCTCAGCTCACTGCAACCTCCGCCTCCCAGGTTCAAGCGATTCTCCTGCCTCAGACTCCTGAGTAGCTGGGACTACAGGTGCCACACCTAGCTAGTTTTTTGTAGAGATGGGGTTTCATCATGTTGGCCAGGCTGGTCTCGAACTCCTGACCTCATGGTCTGCCCGTCTCAGCCTCCCAAAGTGTTGGGATTATAGGCGTGAGCCATAGTACCTTTTTTTTTTTTTTTTTTTTTTTTTTTTTTTTTTTTTTATTTTTTTTTCTTTGTATTTGAGACAGAGTCTTGCTCTGTGGCTCAGGCTGGAACACAGTGGCATGAACTTGGCTCACTGCAACCTTTCCCTTCCAGATTCAAGTGATTTTCCTGCTTCAGCCTCCCAAGTATCTGGGACTACAGACATGCACCACCACACCTGGCTAATTTTTGTAATTTTAGTAGAGATGGGGTTTCACTATGTTGGCCAGACTGGTCTCGAACTCCTGACCTCAAGTGATCTAACCTCCTCAGCCTCCCAAAGTGCTGGCATTACAGGCATGAGGCATCACACCTGGCCTTGTCCTCTTTAAATCAAGGACAGTATAGCGGATGCACACTTGTGTAGTAGAGAATCTAATTTGCATGGAATAATTTACATAGGCATTATTTGCAAGGCTTTTGAAATTTAGAAATCATGTCTTTTTCAAATTGGTTCTCTTTATACTGGAAAAAGTAATAAATATGTTTGACTGGCTATGGCTTTTTTTTTTTTTTTTTTTTTTCCCCCAATAGAGATAGGGTCTTGCTATGTTGCCCAGGCTGTTCTGGAACTCCTGGGCTGAAGTGATCCTCTTGCCTTGACCTCCAAAGTGCTGGGACTGTAGGCATGAGCCTGGCCAGCATCTTATTTTGAAGAAACTTAATTTTAACTCTTTGTTTCAGCAGTCTTATAACTCATGACAGAACAATGAGTAAACACATGTTTTCTTATTTCAGAGTTTAAATTAGATACCTTCCCAAGCATGAATTAGTGTTTCCTGAAGGGAAAAAATACAGTTTTCCTTAAGATGCAGTATAGTACAAATTTGCTGTAATTAAGAGAAGCAAGATGGTGGAAACAATCACTTACTTTTACAGATAAATGTTCTGCTAACCACTATTCAGATGGTTTATTCATTTTCTTCTGTTAGGCAAAGAATTTATGATTTTATTGAATGATTTCTTCAGTATCAATCTGTTCATATTATTGAGATTCAAAAGATCAGTTAAATTTGTGTTCCTGTTTTGTTTTTGTTGTTTTTAAGTCTGAGTTGTTTTTTTTTTCTAATTGATAACTTAGGTTGAATGCCTATTTAAGATAGAGTGACTTGAAATCAGGTCTAATGTGCATAGAATTAAAACTTTTTAAAAAATCCAATTTCTTAGGAATCAACTGCTTTTTTTTCTTAAAGTGAGTTAGTTCTCAGTAAGAAATAAAGTAACAAGATGGGGAGCTGAAAAAGATGTAGTTTGGAGAACTTAAAATAAAAAATCTCTATTCTGTGCCCTTGAAAGCATTTCTTCATATTGCAGTGAGAATAGGTAAGTGACAGTAAAAAAAAATTTTGCAAAGCATTTTCCTTTGCTGACAAGTTAAATTTCTATTCATTAAGTAAAGTCTTATAAAATTAGATTAAAATGTATTTTTCTAAAAACATCTGTTTATATAATATTCTTCAGCGCATTAGGATGGTGGGTTATTTTGGAGGTGTGGGTTTGGTGCAGGGGTGGGAGATGGTGGGTGGTGGTAAGGATATTAGAAGAGGTGTTTTAGAAACTTGACCTGTTTCCTATCCCAACATTCCCAGTATCTTCTATATGTTAGTTATGTTAGTTTAGCTTGGTGTGGGGGATGTTAGGAGTGGCTTGGTTTCTTTCCTTCTTTTTCCTAGCCAAGGAAGTATCGCCTGGGGATGCTGGAGGAGAGGCTAGTTCCGATGGGATCAAAGGCACGAAAAGCAAAGAACCCTATTGGCTGCCTTGCTGACAGGTGTAAATCAGGAGTACCCATCAATATGGTTTGGTGGAACAGAGTCACAGAAAACAATTTACAGGTAAAAATAATTTTTATTAGACATTTCTTGAAAGTGAATATCTTGGCTGCTTTCTGTGTCTGTTTGGGGTGATGGGTGTGAAAGGATTGGATGACTTAGCTGATATACTTGGGTGATTTAAAAATTTCTAATCAGAGTAAGGTTAGTGACCCCTTAACCAACTAAATAATTTTTTTCTTGGTGGCTTTTTGAGCTTTTCCTCTCTGTAGAATATTTTACTTTTTTTCGTTTGATTGTTTTTTGTTTTTTGAGACAGAATCTTACTCTGTCCTTCAGGCTGGAGTGCCGTGGTGCCATCTTGCCTCACTGCAACCTCCTCCTCCCAGGTTCAAGATATCATGCCTCAGCCTCCCAAGTAGCTGGACTGCAGGCTCACACCACCACTAATTTTTTGTATTTTCGATAGAGATGGGGTTTCACCATGTTGGCCAGGCTGGTCTCGAACTGAGCTCAGGTGGTTTGCCCACCCTAGCCTTCCAAAATGCTGGGATTACAGGTGTGAGCCATCACTCCTGGCCGAATATTTTACTATTTTTAGTTAAATTTAGTTTTTTCCTTTTTCAATTTTATTAATACTTCAGTTCAATTATTTTTAATATCCAAGATTTATTCAGGGTAGGACTATATTCAAGAGTCACATAAGGTTGGGTGTGGTGGCTCACGCCTGTAATCCCAACACTTTGGGAGGCTGAGGCAGGCGGATCATCTGAGGTGAGGAGTTGTAAGACCAGCCTTGCCAACATGATGAAACCCCGTCTCCACAAAAAATTAAAAAAAAAAAAAAAAAAAAAAAATTAGGCGTGGTGGTGGGTGCCTGTAATCCTAGCCTCTCGGGAGGCTGAGTCAGGAGAATGGCTTGAACCCAGGAGGCGGAGGTTACAGTAAGCAAAGACTGCACCAGTGCACTCCAGCCTGGGCAACAGAGTGAGACTCTGTCTCAAAAAAAAAAAAAAAAAAAAAAAAGAGTCATATAAAATTTATTACACAAAGTCACATTTATTTGGAATCTGAAGCAGTTTCATATGTTGCCTTTTTAACATTTTTATTAGAAAACAAAAATTATGTGTAAACAAACTTGCCAAGAGTTACTCTAAAACTAACTTCAATAGATGTTGTCAGAGTCATTACAAATACATTTCTTTGACTCTGCCTTTACTGTCAATACTGAATAATGCAAATGAAAATTTATAACTCAAGTAGCTTCTAAAAAGGATTTTGAAGTACCCACAAAAAATTTATATGCCATTTTAATTTGGATTACAATCTTATTTCCAATTTTGAAAAATTGGTAATTGTTCTATAATGTAGTTTTATTAACCAGATTTCAATTTAGCCAGAGGTATAATGTCTTTCCTCCCAAACTTGCATTTCAAAATACTCCGAGGCAAAGCCTTTAATCCCACATGCACATACTATACACAGAAAAGATGTAACAAAGGTAACAACTTGGTTTTATTTCTGTTTCCAACCTTATATTATGAATAGGCTCCACAGTATTTTGTTCTGTTTAATATTGATACATTAGTAGTATCTGTGTTGCCTTGGGCATAGGAATAAATAAATTATTCCAAAAGCAAATATTGTAAAATGTGTTATTTGCTCCAGCTGATATTTTGATAATATTTTCTAAAGAAAAGACGGTGGTTTCATCTAACCATATGCTTAACATTTTATTGGAAAGTTTTGGCTGTCTCCATTATGAATAACAGTATAATTGTTTTAACCGAAATTGCTCGTCTTTGATATCAGTAGTAGAGAGATTTTTTGATATGGGTTGTTATAGTTATTTTTCAGTTTATAAAAGAGGTCTGAAAAATAATTGGACCTCAACTAAATAAGAGCAGATACAAGTGAAACTGGAATTAACTTGTAAGTTGTGGTGGTGAAATACTTACTAATGCAGAGGTGTAGCCACTCGACCTCTCCACAACTGCCCCCATTATCCTGGTGGCAGTTCTGAGGTACCTTGAAAAATCATTAGGTTGGTTATAGTTATGTTTAATTTATAATTAAAATAGTAATGGATTTGCATTAATGCGTGAAATATTGAATTGGTGTTTTCTGAATCTAATATTTCAAATACAGTTATTTTATACTTTAAGTAATTCTTTTCCTTTAAGGACATAAGGAATGCTATGCCCCAGATTTAGAGCTTTATAATCTCTAAAATGCTTCACTTTACCAGGCACATATTGAAATACTGAAAAATACCCGTTTCGTCTCCGTTACTGTCTGTGTGGATTCCTAAACCAGGGATCTGGAATAGTTTATACATAGCAAAGAGTATGTTAATACATGCTTTTGTATTGGAATTTTTCTCCTTTTCTTGTGAGAGAAAAATATCAATTCCATACCATTTTTTTCCTTTTGTGTGATTAGAACATATTTTTAATATTGTTTTGTGTTTTTGACATACACAAGTTTAAAAAATTGTGTCGGGAGCATATTCATCTTTTCTTTTTCCATTTGTTTCCTTCTTAGGTCCTCTCGATCCTAGGGTCAGAAAAATGTTTTAAAATACTTTATGTTAATAATTATGGCTGTATTTCGTAAATGGTTGTCTTATGCCAGGCACTGTGCAAAGCTCTTTACATGTATTGTCTTTTGGTATTGCTAATAGCTTATGGGATAGATGTTGCTGCTAGATGAAGAAACATCTTCAGAGAAGCTAAGTAGCTTTAAGGTTAAACAGAGAGTAGAGGAAAAGAAATTTGAGCTCATGTTTGTCAGACTCAAAATCTCTCTACTTCTATGTGCTGTAGCTCTACTAGCTACAGTTGGCTTAATTATCCAACTGGTTAACTGAACTTCTGCAGAATAGCTTTCTTTGAGGATGAGAGTGCATCCATAGTTGTCTATACATGGACTGTAACTTACGCATGACCCTGCGGCATTTGTAAGCTCTGTCATTTTTCCTTGTGCTTCATCTTTTTCCTCAGTGCCTTTTAACTACTTTTCTTTCTGGAACTTTAAGCATTTCTTAACATTCATTTCTTAATCTTGACCTAATATCTTGGTCTTTTTCTACTTCTGAAAACAAACGAAAACCAATAAACCAACTAACAAGAAACTTAACCAAACCTTCCTCTGAGTTTCTGAGCTCTTCTGGAATGCAGTCATTCATATTGCATTAATTCTCTTCAGTGCTGGATTTCTTTCAAGAGGCCCATGATTCCCCACCCTTTATTGCTTAGTGATCTTGTAACTTATTTTCTACCAAAGATTTTATGACACGAAGGAGCCTGTCTGCCAAGCATGGCGTATATTAAACAGTGATTTCATTTGAAAAATATATGTATGGAGCTGCTAATTAGAGAAATAGAGAAGCTTAATATTTTTCTTAATCTTTTATAGCTTTGTAGAGGGTAAATTTATTCTTCATATGGCTGTTTGAAATATTGATAAGACCCATCTGATCCCCATTAGTATGTTTGTAAAGTCCCCAGTTGGGAACCTTTGGAATAGTTTGTACTCTTTTCTCTGAATTTCCTTACCACCTATTTACTCCTTCAATGTCTGCAAATTGGTGTTACCAAAATTTTACTGAAACTGCTCTCACAGTTTTCCAGGGATGTCTATAATTGCCAAATACAGCAGTTTTATTGAGCACTTAATATTGCTGGTTACTTTTTTTATTGTTAATCAATCTCTCTCTCTCTCTCTCTCTCTCTCTCTCTCTCTCTCTCCCCCTCCCTCCCCCTTCCCCCTCCCCCCCACCCTCTCTCCCTCCTTCCTTCCCTCCCTCCCTCCCTCCCTCCCTCTTTGAGACAGATCTTTCTCTGTCACCCAGTCTGGAGTGCAATGATGCAGTCATGGCTCACTGCAGCCTCAAACTCCTGTGCTCAAGTGATCCACCTGTCTCAGTCTCCTGAGTAGCTGGGACTGCAGGCACCTATCACCACACCCAGCAAGTTTTCTTTCTTTTCTTTTCTTTTTTTTTTAACTTTTTGTAAAGACGGTATCTTTCCGTGT